TACTAGTAAGCAACTGCAAAACCGGCTAATATAAACTAAGGAACTGGATTGTAGCTTAATTCATCTGCCGATGCCACTTGATTTGATATTTTGCATCTAATGCAGTGACATTCATACATGCCTCTATTTCACTTAAGAGTTCAAATACTTTGGAGCCACTGCATATTTGTCTTTGAAGGTTTTCATGAGACTACGAGTGTTATTTCTGTGTTGCACGTTAACTGGTCTGCCACAGTACGGTGTCATACTGCAGTGGGATTGATTTTGTTGTTGTCTATAGCAGACATGCATAGTAGCTGGATCAGAGTTGATAGTTTGGTTTAAACAACCAGTGTGCCTCCAATATTGACATTCACTGTAAATAAGTGATCACCAGTCTGTTGCTGATGTTTCTGTCACACACACACACACACACACACACACACACACACACACACTAGCGCAGGTTTTTCAGCCTGATTGCATGACCTCTCACATTGACATGCATTTATTTCTTTCACATACACACAGACACACGCACGGATTGAGCCACTGGGACGGCTGGTGTTAGCGAAGACACTACACGTTTCTCGGCTGTAGATCCAGGCAGGGACGGAGAACATCTCACATCAAACTATTTCTAATCAAACCCACGAAAGTGTAGCTAATGCAATTTCACTAAGTCATTGGCTGGCTTGATTACATGGGGGCTGACATGAGTGGGAGGTGTGCGTGCATGCGCAGTCACACACTTTTCACTCATCAAGACTGACTTACACAATATGTGCACTTTCTTGTAAGTCGCTCTGGTTAGAGAGCATCTGTCAAGAATAGAAATGTAAATTTGATGTAAAGGCGCATACGCACCCTCACTCCAATCCTAGATTAGCGGCATTCACGGGGCCAGGCTATAACACCTCTCATACGCACTTGCACGATCTTATACACACATAGATTATAAAAGGAAACACACTTCAGCATAATAATAAACCGCCAACAAATGTGGAGGCACATAATAATAAACTGGACCAGCTAACTTGTCGCCATTTGTTCACATTTGTTTATTTTTTGACTGGTAAAATATTGAAATAACATGTTAAACTGTTGTGAATGATTGTTTAGATTTAACATAGCAGATGTTGGCCTGTTGCTTTTCCAATCAAAGTCTGTTGTGTTGACAACATTTTAATGGACCTTCATTAATATGTACTGGAAGGATCTGAATAATGATTAATTATTACTGAATAATTACAAGCCAGGCTGGCAACTGATGACATTTCCTCCTCTGTCTTTGCCATTAAATAACACTGCACAATCTGGATTTGTAACTCTTTGACCTGCTGGCTATCACAGCTTTTATTTATGTGTTTTCAATTAGTGCTCAACTGTTTGGGGTTTTTTAATGGCTCATACTGATATCTAGAGGGCAAGGTGGTATATGATACAATTTAATGATAACAAATGAAAGACACAAAATTGTACAAATTAAATGAGCATTGTTTTACACAATATTTACTCAAATTTAATTAAAATATTTAAAAACACTAAGCAGAGTTTTTCTTTCAGCTGATGCAATCTTTTATTTTTTAGCAATATTTTTATATATTTTCATGAAACATTTTCTTTAATATTATTATTATTACTACTACCACTACTACCCCTACCTTATTATATTATTATACAATTATTTTATTATTATTTTTTTCATTACAAATAATACTCTTACATTTTTTATTTTAAAATAATAACTGGAAATATTACAGCTATATTGTAACTTTTGACAACTATAAACTTCAAGGACTTCTGGTGGAAAACTATGGCATATGCTGCAAAACATTTTGTTTATAATTTAAAACCGATTCATTCTCACAATTTTTTTGGGACAAATGCTCTCACTATTTTCAGTTGATTTCTACCTATTTCCTCCCTTAAATTGTTGAACTTATGCATTTTTATCATACGACTGTTGTTGTAACAGTTCTGTCCTCTGTCTCTCTCACTGTGTTTTTCTCTCCCCTCGTCACTTGTCTATAGGTCAGAGTCAGTGTGTTGTGCGGTTGCAGCTGTGTTTTCTTGTTAGGGCCCGAGCACCGATGGTGTGAGGACCCTGTTGGAATTGCTCCGTTTCTTATTATTCTTCTCCTTCTCCAAAGTGAATCGCATTTTTGAGGGCCTAAACATGCTCGAAAACTCACAAAACTTTGCACACGCGTCAGAACTGGCGAAAATTTACATCTGATATGGGTTTCAGAAGTGGGTGTGGCAAAATGGCTCGATAGCGCCACCTGTAAAATTTCAACGGAGTGCGCCTCGAGCTACGGTTTACGTACATGTACGAAAATCGGTACACATGTGTAACACACCATTACCTACAAAAAAGTATCTTGGAACAAAATCCAAAACCCAACAGGAAGTACGTTATTTTGAATTTCCTGCACGATTTTTGTGCAGTTTTTGCCATTTAAATTACTTGTTTCACAGTAACTTAAACATGCAATATCTGATCTGCCCTAAACTTCAGATGTTTGATAAGAGTCCTGGCCTGAAAACATGTAAATGCCAATATTCAGTTATAATCATAGCGCCACCTACTGGCAACAGGAAATGACTTGTTTTACACTAACTTAAACATGCAATGTCCGATCTGCCCCAAACTTCACGTTTGATAAGAGTCCTGGCCAGAACACATATTAACGCCAATATTCAATAATAATCATAGCCCCACCTGCTGGCAACAGGAAATGACTTTGTTTAAACTAACTTAAACATGCAATGTCCAATCTGCACCAAACATCACGTTTCGTAAGAATACTGGCCTGAAGACATCTACATGTCAGTGTTCAGTAATAATTATAGCGCCACCTGTTGGCAACAAGATAGGCCATGCTTTACACTAACTCAAACATACCATGTTCAATCTGCACCAGACTTCACATGTTTCATAAAAGTGCTAGCCTGAAGACATCTACATGCCAACATCCAGTTATAATCATAGCGCCACCAGCTGGCAGCAGGAAGTTTGGCACATATAAATGACTTTGACATATTCCTCCTATATTTACCACTTATTGCATATTGCCCACTGATTGCTGTTTTCCTAAAGCCACCGGGTGGCGGTGAGCCCGGGTGCGAGGGCCCGTTCATCGCTGCTTGCAGCTTTAATTTTGCTGTTGTAATTGAGTCTTAATTGGATTAGCGGGAGAGAGATTGGATATATTGAGAGTAAAAGAGAAACAGGAAGCTAAGGAAGACAAAGATAAGTTCCCTTTCCAGAGCAACAACTTTGAAAAGCAGAGCTACAACCAGAAAGCTTTTAGAGAGGATAAAGAATCCTCTTGTCTTTTTAATGAGAAAAAGGGGTGGAAATGAAATAAGAGCAAGGGAGCTTTTCATCAAAACGTGTTCCATGAAGAATCTCAGGAAGGTGGAAATGACAAGAACAGCAGCGGGAGGTGCGTTTGAATGCTGGACAGGTGCGCTGCAGGGTTTTTAGTGCAGTGAAAGGTGAACCCATTTCTCATTTGAAGCATGTCTTGTCTCTCAAAACAATGAACACAGGATGACTGATTCCAGCTTTGCAATTAAACCCACACCAGTGGGTCTGAGATCACAACGTTGGAGACAAATCATACAAGCACACTCTTTTGCTTCACTTGTAATTCCACAGCAGTCCAAATCCATCACACACGTGCTTTATGTGCGTCTGGCATTAATATTTGTGTTCCTGGGCCTGGACTCATTTCCCATCCCTTGGGCAAGAAATCTCATGTAACAACTGACTGATAAAAGAAATTAAAGTGATTCTCCACTGAGGACTTGTGTGTGTGTGTGAGTGCGTGTGATGTGCACATAAGTGTCTCAGATGTGTGTGTGTTTCCTGCATGGTGTTTGTCAGGATAGCAGTGCCCAGGCTTAGTGCTACGTAGTTGCAGCAGTCTCTCCAGTGGCAATCTCAAAGGGCTGTGAAATTTTAATGAATAACATTGTCACAGTGCGAGAGAAATGCCAGTAGGCTGACGCCTTGGCATTTCTATTCACCGACCCATGAGGCCACGCACACACCTTCTGTCCACCCAGGAATGTTCTTATTGATGGCAGACTTGATTCTCTTGCAGTCAATTATATTGATTACTTGTGGATGAGTGGAGCTAATAAGGATTGGAGCTCACTTCATTTTTTTGGGCCCTGCCTCATCATGAGAGAGTTACACAGCCATGATTTTCTTATTAACCCTGTTAGCGCAGGACTACGCACATACACAGAGGGGCAAATAGGAGAGAGAGGAGGGGGAGTCTTGTATCTCTGGCTTGTGGTAAATTGCAATGATTTGACAAAATTACTTTTTTGATGGTTGACCACAATATTTTATTCTTTGCTTTGCTTTGTTTTTTGTTTTGAATTTTTTTTTTTTTTGCTTTTTTTTTTTTTGCTTTGCTTAGCTTTTGTTTATACTATTGTTTTGTGCGTTGCTTTCTGTTTTGTTTTGCTTTTTTCTTTTTGTTTTGTGCTTTGCTTTTGCTTTTTGGCTTTTTTTTTTCTTTTTGTTTTGTGCTTTGTTTTTTGTTTAGTTTTTGTTTTTTTGTGCTTCGCTTTTGCTTTTTTGCTTTTTTCCCCCTTTTTGTTTAATTTTTTGTTTTGTTTAGTTTTTTGCTTTGCTTTGCTTTGCTTTCTGGCATTTAGCAGTCCAATATTTTTGTGTAATGACTGCTAAACTGTATTTTATCATCGTCCATGGAAACCATAAGTGTGCTGCTCCTTAGACCAATGTGATGCGTTTCACTTTTTCTTTTAGCGTTTTGAGCCATGAGCACTGTTTTAAAGGCACAGTTTCAACTTTAATGAAGTTTAATTTCTAAAAAATATTTCTCAAAACACCTGCATTCTGTTGTATTTTATCACTCTGTGTAGCGGAATGCAAGAGTCATCCCATGTAAAGCATCCCATGTAAAGGGTCCATATAAAAACATAGTATTTTGGAAGAAAATCTGTTTAAATGTTTCTTCCTGTGTCTTTCTATCCAGGTGGAGCTGATGATAACCTGATTGAGGGAGGAGAGACTAAGTTCCTGTGTAAACCAGGAGCCAGAAACATTACGGTCATCTTTCAGCCATTGCTTAGGTAGGTCCTGTTCACAAATACATGTAAGCTGAACATGCTTTATAAAGCTGCATTTCAGCAAGCTGTTTAAACTCTCCCCTGCTTCATGCCGGCAGCCATTACCGCATCGTTTCCGAGCCCCTACCATTGATTTTGATTTGTTCTGACGGTATCAACTGGAGCGTTCCGTTTAGAACCGCTCTGCTTTAGGTCCTGTTCACAAATGCACGTGTCAGCCGAACATGCTTTATAAAGCTGCATTTCAGCAAACTGTTTAAACTCTCCCCTGCTTAATCTGTCTCCTCGGCCATAGCATGTGATCATTTTTTTCCCCTTCCTTTCATATTTTTCATGGCCGGCAGCCATTACCACGTCATTACCGAGCCCCTGCCATTGATTTTGATTTGTTCTGACGGTATCAATTGGAGTGTTCCGTTTAGAACCGCTCCGCATTCAGTTTTCCTTTCAATCTCCTAATCTATTGGATCATCGGTCCAGCCCACTAATGCCTTGTCATATTACCGCTCTAATACAGAGACATATCCCAAGCATGGTCGTCCTGCCCACAATGTGACCGGACTTCCCGATACTCCTATTGCTCGCAATTACATCCGTGCCACAGTGCATTGATTTTCCATTGTTGTTTTTTTCCCCAGACATGGTCACTGTCACTGTCAGATGGCTTGATGCTATTTTGTCCTGGATGTAACACCCTTCTCAAACGCTCTTTTAAAAGACCTGTTGGTGTTAATGCAAGCTGTTGATGTAGCTCGCATTGCTATACCACATATGAATAGAAAGCAGATTTTCTGTCAAATTATATTATTCTACACAATTCAACCCATGGCAAGTCAAGCAACACTATTATAGTAGCATTTAAACCTTTAACCCTAATTAGTATTTAACCCTATATTAATAATAAGCTTAAGAATGTGACTTGAACAAGAATAATGTCTTAAATCGTGTGGCTTGTTTAGAAGAGGTGTGTGAATGGGTTTCTAAGTGTTTAAAGCAGTGGTTCTCAACCTTTTTTTCCACCGGGCCGCACTATGGTCCAAGTGCAAGTCTTGCGGGCTGCACGCATATCATTTACATATTACGTCAGCAATACAAACCAACCTGATTTATAATATTATAGCCTAAATATTATGATATCTAATCGATTACATTCATTGAAATAAATAAATAATTCTACTCCCCATAAATAACACCCAATTTTGTGAAATTCGGCTCGAAAGGAGTAACGGCACAATCATAGGCGGAGTTTCACTTTTATGCGTGGGGGGGCACCCACTGGCAGACGAGCCACGAGCACTTTTTTATATGTTCTACATTTCATGTATTTATGTAACACATATTCTACATTAAAAAAATAATTTAGAATGAACAATAACTGCTGTACAAAGAGTAAAAAAAAGAAAGAAAAGAAAAAAAACCATAGGCCTACCTAATGCAGAAAAGCCGCCTCTTTTTCCGAATTGCGCAGATGACCACTATCTTTCTTTCATCTCTTCTGATAAATTTTCAGTCAAATCGTTTTCTGTGTGCTAGATCAGAGCTAGAGCCCTGCATTTCAGCCCGGGCCCGATGGGCCACAACTTTTTTACGCCCCCTCGGGCCTTGCTTCGGGCCAATTTTCACGTCATAGTTCAGACGCGGGCCGGGCATCGGGACTGTTTTAGGCTTCTCCTTATTTTATATTTTAGATATCACAGATCGCGCTGGCGTCTCTATGTCCTGCAAAGCGCGCTTCAGCTTCCACTCTCTGCGCAAACTATTGGATACAGCGCACATTTATCTAGGTTTAACGTTTAAACATTGTTATATGCTTGAACTGTTTTATATCTATAGATTTTATTTTAGTCAAGTCGTGATGATTTGAGAAGGCTAAATTGATCAAACATATGCTCACTGTCTGCCGCTGGCCACTTGGTCGTTACTTTAAATGCGTAACGTTAATTAGGCTATGTGCGTACTGCTCATGTCTGAAAATAATATATGAAAAACAAAATTATTTTACATAAAAACATTAGGCTATAGCTTAAATTTATTTAGTACATTTTTAAATTAATGTAAAAACTAAAATGAATTGTAAAACTGAAAGTATTTTTTTTAATTGTGTTCAGCACGGTGGGCCGCATTTGAATTTGTGACGGGCCGTGGGTTGAGAACCACTGGTTTAAAGTGTTCGAGTGTTAAAGTGTTAAAGTGTAGCAACTGCATAGAATTGTGGCGGTGAGTTTTGCACAGGTATCAATCACATATTCTTGAGAAAAATTAATTTGCTAGCAGAGGTTTAGCTCTGATCATCATTGTTAATCTGAGCACAAAAGTGTCTAATTTGTCAGTTTTGTCATAATGGTACCAAATCACTGCTTGTTGTATTTTCAGCTCGACTGCTTCTCAGGTCTGTCCTCATTATTTTACGTATCAGTCACCACAATAGTGATGAACTTATGTTGAGTTTACCAAACTTTCCTAGCAACAAGTGCATAATATCCCCATTTAGTCCATTACAAAACTTATATTTCAGGATATGAATGCGTCAACTCTGTTGCCAACAGTCATTTGGGGAAAATACATCTTTTGGCCTGCTGTGATTCTGGCTCGATCGCGAACATTGCGCCCACTATGAGGAGGCGGCACCTGCTGCACACTGATGTATTCTAGCCGTGTTCATTAATCTAAATGAGCTGCTCTCAGTGGTCATCTGAGCAGTGCGACAGCAGCAGGGGATGGGCAGAGGGCGTGTCAGACAGCTGTCCGTCTGAGATGAATGGCAGGCGGATCATCGCTCCGACAGTATGAACAGCTCATCTGGTCCCTGCTGAGGTGACGGACCGAACAAATGAATGCATGAATAAACGAGTGACTGCTCTCCACCTTTTGCTTGCCGCCACATAATGGCTGCTATCAGTCATAGTCCTCTGCGAGGAGCCTGATGTGTGGCCGCCCGTCCTTGGCTGCATTCGGTGTGCTTAATGCTTTGCTGCACTGATACACATTCAAACCTATGAGGACTGTCATTTCTGGAGAAAGGTCCATCTTTGCTTTTGGATGTAGTTTCAGACAGTTTTTTTGTGTGTCTGTATATCGCATCTGATTAATCAGTTATTGTCAGAATCATATTTTTTAGCTTTTGATTTATTTTAGTCTAAAAGATATTTTATTATTTAATTTAATATTTCAGATATTTAATTATTTAACTGAAATGACATGTTTTGGTTGATGGAAGTAGCATTTTAATTTACAATATGTAAAATGAGGAACATTTGGACTAAAACAGGAAAACAGACTAGACTTTAACTTTTTTGTACTTTTTGAAAATTGTAAACGTATTATGATACATATTTTGCACTCTTATTTTTCTCATCATAATTTCTTCAGCAGTGTTTAAGACAGAGTTATTATTAACTAAAACTAAAACGGAAACTAAAATTAAAACCATAAAAAATTGTTACTTGAAATTAAATAAATGAAATGAAATAAAATATGTTGCCAAGGAAACATTTCTCATTTTAATTCAGTTTAACTATGTACTACACAATAAAATTATTAAAACTTTAACTAAAATGAAAAAGGAAACTAAAAAATTATTCAGAATATTAGTAAAAACTATAAGAATTACACTGTTGTAAGAAAATATGTAATTTAATTTAGTAAAACGTGTAAAAAAATATATTGTAAGCATATTTTGCACACCAAACATTTGAACCTTTTTTATACATTTTTGAAAAATATAAACATATATTATTAAAAAAAAAATCTGTCATTTTTTCCCACATAATTTCTTCAGCAGTATTTAAAAGACCAAACTTTTTAATGTTTTTATAGATTTTTTAAAACATGTATGAACATTATAAATATATTATAAACATTAAACAGTATTTTTAGCATATATTTATCAGCATATATTTAGGATATTTTTATATAGTTTTGTCATAAGTGTTTAATTAAAATTGTGGTATGATAATTTAATGATGAGTCATTTCTGGTGCATTTTTGTTATTATTGACAATCATAATCAATGTCTTTTCTGTGTCATTGTGTCAAAGTCAGCAGACAGAGAAATATATGTCAAATTGACAAAAATCATATAAATGAAATATGTGCAATTTATATGTTGCTTAATTAATTTTGTCAGAATGCACAGCTGCTTTCGAATATACCTAAGCTGTAATTACAGAGGCTAACTGGACCCCTAACTGACCCCTTTATTAAACTCTATGCACCAATCGAAGTCGAACTGTACTCCTGATGCAGGAGTTTGTTTTATCAGTGACCGAGAAGAACCTAAACTTACGCCGCGATCAATACAGGCTCTTAATGTTACTGCCAATCAATTCACCATGCAATTTGTGATCGATAGTCTCTGTGGAAGAGGCTGACGTTGAAGATCTTAGAGGTGTGGACTTGATGCTTTTTTGATTGATGCTGGGCAGGAGCAGCCCAAGGAGATCGATAATCCCTTTGGGGAGCTTCACACGTCTCCAGACCCGCTCACTGTATGTTAATATATGGGCTCCGCTTGCACTGTACAGCGAAAGTGCGAAAACACTTTGCCGAGTATCAAATCTCTCCTGATTGATCAATACGGTTGCTCCATAAAGACCGCTTGTGTACGTGTCTGTGTGTGTTTGTGTACGTTTCCGTTGCTTTCAACTACTTGAATCAGTTTGAAAGTACTCGCAGTGTTTTATGTTAGTCTGTTAGCTGGTGTGTTTTTGAGTGACTGTCTGCCTCACTCACTCATATGTGGGTTTTTATGTTTATGTGGATGTTTGGCTATGCGTGTGAATTGGAGACATGCTTACTACAGCGAGAGGGGAGATGGAACAGATAGGAGGTAATTTAGTTTGACTTGTGGGGCCTCACACTGACATTTAGTGGTATTTAAATCCTCCTGCCCTGACTGAGGTTGGCATTTTGAAAAGGGGGCACGCTCGGCTTGCCATAATCTCTCCCCTTGTATGCATCCACACTCAGAGGTGATTAGGCCTGGCAGGGCCCGGAGTCTGTGA